TGGATGGCCTCTTCCTTCTTCCTAGCCTGTCTCAGTCTGTAAGCTGGGCTGATACCTGTGCACCATATGCATCCCCCTGGTTTGAAACATCAGTGGCTCAGCCTCAAAACTCACATCAACATGTCACCGTGGTAGGACAAACTGACAGACAAGTTTGTCTCCCCATTTCACTGCTATTCATAAGGTTTCCACTGGTCAATTCCTTCCTTCTTCTGAGTCTGTCTTAGCTGGAAACTCTGCTGAAGCCTGTCCACCATGGGTGACCCTGCTGGTATTTGAAATACTTGTGCCATAGCCTCCAGCCTCACAGCAACATACAAGCCACCACAGCACAACAAACTGTCAGATGAGTGGAGGGGAAGACCCTCCACAAAATGGACTGACACAGTGGCTGCAATGATGGGCTCAGGCATAGCAAGGATTGTGAGGATGGCACAGGACCGGGTGGTGTCTCGTTCTGTTGTACATAGTAGGGTCATTAGGAGTCACAGCTGACCCAATGGGAGCTAACAACGATAACAACCTATTAGTCAGTGGTTCTTATCCACCCAGCAGTACTGGGGAAGGCATGCCAGGCAATCTGTTTCCATGAGGATTACAGCTAAGAGCCAAGGGAGCAGTTCTATGCTCTAAAACAGGGGTCGCCATGGGTTGGAACTGACCTACTGGTGATGAATTTGGTTTCTTCTTTTTTGGCTTATCATTAGTTCAGTACTCAGCACCTGAGATTGAAGAGACCCCCCCACACACACACCATGTAAACATTTGCTGCCCAACACTGGTGAGTGTTTGGTGACTGTTTGCAGATGCCCTCCAGCTGTGGACTACCCATCGTGATGGAGAAATCCTTTTGAGGTTGACAAAGCATGGGCCAGGCCATGAGACCCCGATAACCATTCCAGAATTTTTCCGGGAGTCAGTCAGCCGCTTTGGGACTTACCCGGCTGTCGCAACAAGGAAAAATGATAAATGGGAATTTCTGAAGTACAGCCAGTACTACGAGGCTTGTCGGAAAGCTGCAAGAGGCTTCCTCAAGGTAAGAGACTCCTTCATTCATTCATCGTTTGATCAGTGACTCATCCAGAATAAGTAATATAGATGACAATAAAAGACAACACCACACTGGTTGCTGTCAACTCGATTCTGCCTCATGGCAACCCCAGGGTTGAACTACCCCTGCCTCAGAGAGTTTTCTTGGCTGTAACTTTCACAGAAGCCATTTGTGAAGCCTTTCTTTTGTGGCATCTTTGGGTGAGTTTGAGCTGCCAACCTTTAGGTTGGAAGTCAAATGCATGCCCTTTGCACCACCCAGGGCCCTTAAATAGGGCCATCTAGTCAATTTCAATAGGAGCTCTGGTAGC